CAGCACTATAGATATGGTGTTTGCGGCTCGTCAGTTGCAAGAGAAGTGCAGAGAACGACACTAGTCATTGTACTCGCTTTCTGTTGATTTCACCAAGGCGTTTGATACGGCGAACCGCTAGGCATTGTGACTGGTGTTTGGTAAGTTTGGTTGCCCGCGTAAGTTTGTAAGTTTAATTGAATGTCTGCACAGTGGTATGCGAGCGAGGGTGCGGCCGAGTGGAGAGACCTCGGATGACTTTGCAGTTGTCTCTGGTGTAAAGCAAGGCTGTGTCTTAGCTCCTGCCCTGTTTAATATATATCTTCATGCAATGTTGTTTTGTGCTTTTGATGCCGCTTGTGCTTACGGTGTTCGTGTGGAGCACCGTATTGATGGTGGGTTACTGAACATCCGTCGTTTCGGTGCGAGAACTCTAGTCTGTGAGACAACTATCCGTATGTTGTTGTTTGCTAACGACTGTGCGTTATTTGCACATAGCGCGGATGAGTCGCAGCACATGACTAGTGCTGTGGCTTCGACAGCGGCCAAAGTCGGGCTCACCATCAACACAAGCAAAACTGTCTGTCTCTTTCAGCCTTCACCGGAGGTGCAATCTTCAATATTGCCGCAAAGCAGCATTGATGCTGAAGTGTTGGAAACCACCTCCCGCTTCTGCTACCTTGGGAGTGTGATGTCGACTGATCAGCAGCTACATGTTGCGTTGCGTATTCGCGTGTCGAAAACGACAGCGGCATTCGGGAAGCTTGAGTACCGAGTGTGGAACAACCATCAGCTTAGCATTGGCACGAAGCTGATGGTGTACAAATCCACGGTACTGTCCGTTCTTCTATGCGGCAGTGAAACGTGGACTTTGTAACCTCGGTATGTCAGATATCTCGAGCGGTTCCATCAGCAGTGTCTGTGACGAATTTTGCGGATCGGTTGGGGCGACAGGGTTGCAGACACGGAAGTGTTGCGCCGAAGTGGGATGTATGCAGTGGACGGCATACGTTTACTGCGACACCTGAGATGGTTCAGTCACGTGAGCCGTATGGATTCGGCGCGGATACCGAAACAACTATTATACGGTCAGCTGAGTATAGGGAAGCGGCATGTGGGGTAACCCAAGTTACGTTACCAGGACATGCTCAAAGTGATCCTCTCACGTTCTAATTTTCATTGCAGGTCATGGGAATAGAAGGCGGTTGATCGTGGTGCGTGGCGCGATCTAATCACGTAGGCATTTGCTGAAGTGCGGGAGAAAGCCCTCATGCATGCAGAGAAGAAGCGGCAAGCACCGATGAATTGTACTCCATCGACATCGAGCGCATGGTGCAGTAGAACATGCGGTCGCGAGTGCCTTAGTCAGACAGGCCTAGTGAGCCATGAGAGAGGTCACTCGGGACCACTGCCGTAGCGACGACGGGTCCCGCAGTGAACGTAGGCAGCACCGGCGTAGCGTTTGTAGGCACGCTGAATTCGATTTACTAACCGCGTGCTTGCATGCTAAGTCTCTTCACTTCAGGTGGTGGGTTTTCGGTTCTGTCCTAATGCCTTTCTTTCTCATATAAATGTCTAGTGGGCCATGAGCTATGCCGTTAGGGGCCACTTCAGAAGCGACGACGGGTTCTACAGAGAATTACGGCGAGCCGGCGCAGCGTTTGTAGGCACGCTGAATTCGATTTACTAACCGCGTGCTTGCATGCTAAGTCTCTTTATTTCAGGTGGTGAGTTTACAGTTTTTACCTTAATGCTTCTCTTTCTCATATAAATATCTCCCTGTACTCTATTTCACTAACTTGCACACATCGCCTAAGCCACTTGTATTCGATTTCCATAACATTCTTGCGTTCGTGGCATTCCGTGAACTATATTTCCGGACCTCGTGCACTTAGCTAGGATTTGTTTGTAAACAACTTATAACATATGTTATTCGAAATGATTTGGAATATTGGTAGCTCGGGAGGCTTGCTCAGTTGTTGTGGAGTTCTCCGAGCTGGGCAACTTGGTTGCAAACGTTTCGCCACCATTCGAGGTGGCATCTTCAGTGCGGGATTGATAGCAGTAAAGTAGCAGTAGCTGGTAGAAAGCAAACCCAATAATGGATGCTGTCAGCAGCCACTCCGTTCCTTATATAGGCATACGGGGCTATTAATTTTTGCTTCGTTCTCATCGGTGAATCCTTGTGTTCAGCGGCTGTGCTCGAGTCATTGTCATTGGCTGCGGGAAGGTTGTTGCGACGTGGTTGGGAGTATCGCACGCGGATTGGTGCAACGGGTGTGGGTGAGTAGTCTGGGCTCATATTGACCTTGCTGTTCATTGTCCGTGTGTTGGATTAGGTTCTTTCGGACAACGGTTTTTGATCCTCTTGAACTCCCTCTGTCTCAGCGGTTGATATATTGGATCAAGGTCGATATGCATGTTGATTGAGTTCGTGGTTGAGAACCAGGCTTCGAGAAATTCCCTCCCTTTTTGTGTTTCTCCTTCGGTCAAGATCTCTACTTTGTTCCAGTCGAAGCTGTGTCCCTCTTCATCTACATGTGCTGAAACCAATGAGGTTGCGTAATGGTTCTTGCACGCTCTTTGGCGTTCATGTATCCTAGTGGACAGCTTCCTTCCTGTTTGTCCCACATAGTGCTTTTCACAGTTTACGCAGTTTATTCTATATATGACATTCTGTCGTTCTAGTGCCTCTCGCTTTCCTTTTGGTTTTGACAATGTTTTCCTCAGAGTGGCGGATGGCTTGTGGGCTACCATTATATGATGTTGGTTGAACAATCTTGCAGTCATTTCAGACACGTTCTTTATGTACGGCAGAACGATACGTTTCGTCATAGCTGATGTAGATTCGGTTTTTGAGGGCTTGTGATTTAGGCATCTTCGGAGGAAACTGCGTGGGTATCCGTTGCGTTCGAATGACCTTAATAAGTGTTTTTCTTCTGCTCGTTTCGCATCTGTCGTACTGCAGTGAGTTTCTATTCTATGGAACAGTGTCCGCACACAGCTTATTTTGTGACATCTTGGGTGGTTGCTGTTGAAATTCAAAATCTGATCGGTGTGAGTGCTTTTTCTGTAAACTGAGGTTTGCAATTCGCCGTCCATTGTCCTGGCTACTAGCACATCCAAGAAAGGAAGTTTGTTTTCCTTCTCTAATTCCATGGTAAACTGTATGCCGTCCATAGCGTTGTTAAGCAGTTGTTGTGCAACCGATACTTGACTACGTTTGAGTATCACAAATGTGTCATCGACGTAGCGAACCCAGAGTCTCGGATTAATCATTGGCAGTAGATCCTCTTCCAATTTTTGCATGACAAACTCTGCGATGAGTCCGGACACAGGTGATCCCATCGGTGCACCTTTCACTTGTTTATACATTTTCCCGTTGAACGCGAAGTAAGTTGAGAGACATAAGTTGAGAAGTTCGCATACGCTTCTGGTCGTCATGTTCCCAATCTTCCCTCCACTGTTGTCCAGACGTTCTACGATAATTTCTTTGGCCAGCTGTAAGTTGACGGAAATGAATAGGGCCCTATTCTACTATCAATCTGCTAGCAATCCCGCACTGAAGATGCCACCTCGAATGGTGGCGAAAAGTTTGCAACCAAGTTGCCCAGCTCGGAAAACTCCACAACAACTGAACATATGTTATTTAATTAAGGTTTATATCACGTTTCCTTATGCATTAATCGAGTTTTTCTCTTTTTCTCTCTTTATCTTCCAAGTGTTTGGCTGCTGTTTGATATCCCCGATGTGGATGCGCTTTATGTGCATGTTGACAAGGTGCCTACCTGTCTATTACCCACTACCTCATCCATACTGGCTCCAGGAGACAGTTGATCGTTGCTGGAAGGGACAGGGTGCACGGTCCTTGTGGCGGTGTTAGGCCCAAAGAGTGGTTCCATGCAGTCAGTGTGGAGCGGACTACGGTCCAGCCACCGTCTTGTGTGCGCTTGATTCGCAAATACAGTGTGCTTGTGTTTGCCTGTGAAAGAGTGTGGGCCGGCTCCGTTGATGAAAGGTGGTTCCCATCCGCATGCCTCCCGGTCTTATTCCTTCGGGTTTACACTGGATATGGGGGTACTATATATATATATATATATATATATATATATATATATATATTGTTGAATACTGCCTCTTGAATACGTCAGGTTCTAACAATGCGATACCAACTCTCCTAGACGGATGAACGAACGAGACTCAGAATTATTTCTCGCACGGCACGGTAACTGACAATCTCGAAGTCTGTGGGTTATCGGAACTTAGCCGCGAAAGATTAATTCACGCGAGTCGAACAGGTTCCTAGACCGAACGCAAAGTTTCTACGCACGATTTCCCAACCCAAGACTGAAGCAAGAACAAGACAGGCCTTTGCCACAGGCGCTTTTACTGGCCAAAGCGAAGGCGATTCTAGCGTTCTACAGCCTCATTTTTATATCACGAAACAGAGATGAAGGGGATTTTTCCTTGGAAGGGTTTGCATAACCAAACCCTGGAAACAAGAAACATGGTTTTGTGTGAATGTGCAAAGTCCGTAAACTGAGCAGAAATGTTGGAAGGTTGGCGAGAGTTGTCCGGAAAAATGAATGTTGCTTGGATACAACAATGCGTGTTTGGTTGGAAACAAGACTGCTTCTGGGTGCAAAGGCTAACAAAGTGCATGTTACACGAGTTGGAAGGCTGATTGAACGTGTGCGTTTTGTCTGGCTTTGTGTACATGTGTACTTGAGTGAATCGGGTTTTCAGCCTTCCGTAATTTAAGTCTTTAATAATTATATTGACGTCGGGTCCCCATAACATCCCCCCTTTAAGTTCGAACATACTGTTTGAGTTTCGGCATCGACTAATGGTAAGGCTGCATATGGGACCGGCCTTTTAGGACGGAATGCCGGTTGAGCTCTTGGAGCAAGCTGTAACACGGCGCGGGTGCGTGAACAGCGGCCAAGACCATCTTGGAACACTGAGGCGAACTGTCGGATGAGGTCATCGGTTTCGTCAGTTGGTACGGCCAGAGATTATACCGCGCTGCAGATGGTTCGGATAGGTAGATCGGCCATGCCAAGGTGTTCGAGCCAATCGAGACCAAGTAGATTGAGGTTTGCCTTGGCGATGTAGCAGATCCCGTCGAATGTGACACCTCGAAAGTAGACGGTACAATGCAGCTGCCCAGTTAGCTGCACGTGGCCACCACGGGCACTGGTAGCGGATTGAAGGGTTGGCTGGACTGGTGGACTACCAAGGGATCGCCAGAGTTTCTCGGAGACGATCGTGATGTCCGAAGCAGTGTCCAACTGCAAGCGGACGGTCTGGCCATTAATCTGGACGTCGACGAACTTCCTGCGATCAGCATTGACTTGGAATGTGGCCAGCAAGCTCATGGAGCTGCCAACCGGGCCAGTGTTGGGTTTGCGTCTGGATCGTGACCTCTTCGTTTGACTGTGGGTGGGGGCCAGGCCAGGTTTGGTCCCCTTGGGTTGTGCGGGTCTGCGGGTGGGGGCCAGCCCAGGTTGAGCCAGCCCAGGTTTGGCTCCCTTGTGTGACGTAGGATAGCAGTATCCATCACGGTGCCCCACCCTGCCACAACGTTGGCATCGATGCTGTCGGAAGTTGCAATCTCGGTGGAAATGGCCTGCACCACAGAATCGGCACGGATAGGGTGGGGACTTCGCTCGGTTGAGTTGGGAGAGCCGCTCAGAAGGTTGCGGCTTGGGGGCTGCGACCACCTGGACCAGACCAGGCGCGGAAGCGTTCTGGATCATCGCGGAATCGTGTTTCAGATTGATCAGCGATTGACACTCCTCGGCCAGGTTGTGGAGTGTGATCGTGCTGTCCTGCTGCAGCTTGGATAGGAGGCGCGTTCGGATGTCGGCATCATGGGCGGACCGGAGGCCAGAAATGAAAAGCAAGCACTTGAACTGGTCTTCTGTGAGCGAGCCAAGCTGGAACCGTTCGCATTCCCGATTGACGATGCCCGCGTATGTGACGAAATCATCGGCATCTCGTTTGGTCAGCTGCAGACATTGGTACCGGGTGTTGAACAGCGAGGACTGTTCGCCAAAGATCTGCGACAACGTGCGGACCGTTTCACCAAAGGGAACATCGCGGGGCTTCTTTGGCAAGATGAAGTTTGTATAACGTTGGTGCTCGACCGTGCCCAGTTTGCGCAGAAGCAGCCGGACCTTCCACGCGTCAGCCTGGGAAGCCAGGTCAACGGTGAACAGATCCTCGTACCGCTTATACCAGGACTCGAAGGTAATTTGAGCGCCAGGGTCATACAGGAATTCGGAGATGCTGCTGCAGATATTGTCAACCGAAGGAGTGCTGCCCGTGGAACCTGATTGAAGGGAAGAACTGGAGAGTTTTCCGTTAAGGCAGTCATTAAAGCAATCTGGTGCTCCAAAAGTAATTTAAACTCATTATATGCAACTGCCATGGGTTCAAATACTTCGTCGCCACTGTTGAATACTGCCTCTTGAATACGTCAGGTTCTAACAATGTGATACCAACTCTCCTAGACGGATGAACGAACGAGACTCAGAATTATTTCTCGCACGGCACGGTAACTGACAATCTCGAAGTCTGTGGGTTATCGGAACTTAGCCGCGAAAGATTAATTCACGCGAGTCGAACAGGTTCCTAGACCGAACGCAAAGTTTCTACGCACGATTTCCCAACCCAAGACTGAAGCAAGAACAAGACAGGCCTTTGCCACAGGCGCTTTTACTGGCCAAAGCGAAGGCGATTCTAGCGTTCTACAGCCTCATTTTTATATCACGAAACAGAGATGAAGGGGGCTTTTCCTTGGAAGGGTTTGCGTAAGCAAACCCTGGAAACAAGAAACATGGTTTTATGTAAATGTGCAAAGTCCGTAAACTGAGCAGAAATGTTGGAAGTTTGGCGAGAGTTGTCCGGAAAAATGAATGTTGCTTGGATACAACAATGCGTGTTTGGTTGGAAACAAGACTGTTTCTGGGTGCAAAGGCTAACAAAGTGCATGTTACACGAGTTGGAAGGCTGACTGAAACGTGTGCGTTTTGTCTGGTCTGAGTACATGTGCACTCGAGTGAATCGGGTTTTCAGCCTTCCGTAATTTCAGCCTTTAATAATTATAGGGACGTTGGGTCCCCATAACATCCCCCCTTTAAGTTGGAACATACTGTTTGAGTTTCGGCATCGACCAATGATAAGGATCCATATGGGACCGGACTTTTAGGACGGAATACCGGTTGAGCTCCGGGAGCAAGCTGTAACACGGCGCGGATGCGTGAACAGCGGCCAAGACCATCTTGGAACACCGAGGCGAACTGTCGGATGAGGTCATCGGTTTCGTCAGTCGGTACGGCCAGAGATTGTACCGCGCTGCAGATGGTTCGGAGAGGTAGATGGGCCATGCCAAGCTGTTCGAGCCAATCGAGACCAAGTAGATTGAGGTTTGCCTTGGCGATGCAGCAGATCCCTTCGAATGTGACACTTTGAAAGTAGACGGTAAAATGCAGCTGCCCAGTTAGCTGCATGTGGCCACCACAGGCGCTGGTGGCGGATTGAAGGGTTGGTTGGACTGGTGGACTACCAAGGGATCGCCAGAGTTTCTCGGAGATGATCGTGATGTCCGAAGCAGTGTCCAACTACAGTCGGACGGTCTGGCCATTAATCTGGACGTCGACGAACTTCCTGCGATCCGCATTGACTTGGAATGTGGCCAGCAAGCTCATGGAGCTGCCAACCGGTCCAGTGTTGGGTTTGCGTCTGGATCGTGACCTCTTCTTTTGACTGTGGGTGGGGGCCAGTCCAGGTTTGGTCCCCTTGGGTTGTGCGGGTCTGCGGGTGGGGGCCAGCCCAGGTTTGGTCCCCTTGGGTTGTGCGGGTCTGCGGGTGGGAGCCAGCCCAGGTTTGGCTCCCTTGTGTGACGTAGGATAGCAGTATCCATCACGGTGCCCCACCCTGCCACAACGTTGGCATCGATGCTGTCGGAAGTTGCAATCTCGGTGGAAATGGCCTGCACCACAGAATCGGCACGGATAGGGTGGGGACTTCGCTCGGTTGAGTTGGGAGAGCCGCTCAGAAGGTTGCGGCTTGGGGGCTGCGACCACCTGGACCAGACCAGGCGCGGAAGCGTTCTGGATCATCACGGAATCGTGTTTCAGATTGATCAGCGATTGACACTCCTCGGCCAGGTTGTGGAGTGTGATGGTGCTGTCCTGCTGCAGCTTGGATAGGAGGCGCGTTCGGATGTCGGCATCATGGGCGGACCGGAGGCCAGAAATGAAAAGCAAGCACTTGAACTGGTCTTCTGTGAGGGAGCCAAGCTGGAACCGTCCGCATTCCCGATTGACGATGCCCGCGTATGTGACGAAATCATCGGCATCTCGTTTGGTCAGCTGCAGACATTGATACAGGGTGTTGAATAGCGAGGACTGTTCGCCAAAGATCTGCGACAACGTGCGGACCGTTTCACCAAAGGGAACATCGCGGGGCTTCTTTGGCAAGATGAAGTTTGTATAACGTTGGTGCTCGACCGTGCCCAGTTTGCGCAGAAGCAGCCGGACCTTCCACGCGTCAGTCTGGGAAGCCAGGTCAACGGTGAACAGATCCTCGTACCGCTTATATCAGGACTCGAAGGTAATTTGAGCGCCAGGGTTATAAAGAAATTCGGAGATGCTGCTGCAGAAATTGTCAACCGAAGGAGTGCTGCCCGTGGACCCTGATTGAAGGGAAGAACTGGAGAGCTTTTCCGTTAAGGCAGTCATTAAAGCAATCTGATGCTCCAAAAGTAATTTAAACTCATTATATGCAACTGCCATGGGTTCAAATACTTCGTCGCCACTGCTGAATACTGCCTCTTCAATAAGTCAGGTACTAACAATGTAATACCAACTCTCCTAGACGGATGAACGAACGAGACTCAGAATTATTTCTCGCACGGCACGGTAACTGACAATCTCGAAGTCTGTGGGTTATCGGAACTTAGCCGCGAAAGATTAATTCACGCGAGTCGAACAGGTTCCTAGACCGAACGCAAAGTTTCTACGCACGATTTCCCAACCTAAGACTGAAGCAAGAACAAGACAGGCCTTTGCCACAGGCGCTTTTACTGGCCAAAGCGAAGGCAATTCTAGCGTTCTACAGCCTCATTTTTATATCACGAAACAGAGATGAAGGAGGATTTTTCCTTGGAAGGGTTTGCGTAAGCAAACCCTGGAAACAAGAAACACGGTTTTATGTAAATGTGCAAAGTCCGTAAACTGAGCAGAAATGTTGGCAGTTTGGCGAGAGTTGTCCGGAAAAATGAATGTTGCTTGGATACAACAATGCGTGTTTGGTTGGAAACAAGACTGTTTCTGGGTGCAAAGGCTAAACAAAGTGCATGTTACACGAGTTGGAAGGCTGACTGAAACGTGTGCGTTTTGTCTGGTCTGAGTACATGTGCACTCGAATGAATCGGGTTTTCAGCCTTCCGTAATTTAAGCCTTTAATAATTATAGGGACGTTGGGTCCCCATAATATATATATATATATATATATATATATATATATATATATATATATATATATATATATATCTATATGGTTGGCGGCATTCGGTTTCGGATTTGCCTGTCACTGTGGCAAGCCACAGGACGCCTGCGCCTACAGAGGGACCATGGGTGGCTTGCGCTGCACCACCCACAGCTCCAACCACACCCCATATCCAGTGTAAACCCGAAAGAATAAGACCGGGAGGCATGCGGATGGGAACCACCTTTCATCAACGGAGCCGGCCCACACTCCTTCACAGGCAAACACAAGCACACTGTATTTGCGAATCAAGCGCACACAAGACGGTGGCTGGACCGTAGTCCACTCCACACTGACTGCATGGAACCACTCTTTGAGCCTAACACGGCCACAAGGACCGTGCACCCTGTCCCCTCCAGCAACGACCAACTGTCTCCTGGAGCCAGTATGGACGAGGTAGTGGGTAATAGACAGGTAGGCACCTTGTCAACATGCACATCAAGCGCATCCACACCGGGGATATCAAACAACAGCCAAACACTTGGGAGATAAAGAGAAAAACTCGATTAATGCATAAGGAAACGTGATATAAACCTTAATTAAATAACATATGTTATAAGTTGTTTACAAACAAATCCTAGCTAAGTGCACGAGGTCAGGAAATATAGTTCACGGAATGCCACGAACGCAAGAATGTTATGGAAATCGAATACAAGTGGCTTAGGCGATGTGTGCAAGTTAGTGAAATAGAGTACAGGGAGATATTTATATGAGAAAGAGAAGCATTAAGGTAAAAACTGTAAACTCACCACCTGAAATAAAGAGACTTAGCATGCAAGCACGCGGTTAGTAAATCGAATTCAGCGTGCCTACAAACGCTGCGCCGGCTCGCCGTAATTCTCTGTAGGACGCGTCGTCGCTTCTGTAGTGGCCCCTAATGGCATAGCTCATGGCCCACTAGACATTTATATGAGAAAGAAAGGCATTAGGACAGAACCGAAAACCCACCACCTGAAGTGAAGAGACTTAGCATGTAAGCACGCGGTTAGTGAATCGAATTCATCGTGCCTACAAACGCTGCGCCGGTGCTGCCTACGTTCACTGCGGGACCCGTCGTCGCTTCGGCAGTGGTCCCGAGTGACCTCTCTCATGGCTCACTATATATATATATATATATATATATATATATATATATATATATATATATATATATATATATATATATATATATATATATATAATATATATATATATATATATATAT